CATTTTGGAGCCAACAGGACCTGCCCAGGGTTCTGAAGGTGGCATGGCATATAGTACTGGAAATTGAACCCGTGCGTCCTTGCACTTGCCAGGCAGGTGCTTAGACCATTAAGCTATCTCCCCAGCCCTTTGGTTTGGCTTTTGAGAGAAGGTCTTGTTATATATAGTACAGGCTGCCCTCAAACTTGCAGCAATCCTCCTGCCTCAGCCTCCCAAGTGCTGGGATTATAAGCATGCTCCACTGCTTCCTGCTAGTGGCTAACATTGCTGAGCATGGTCTCCCAGAACATAGTACAGTGAGGAAACCCCAGGAAGCTGGGTTTTGCACACCTGTCAGTCCAGCTATTTAGAAGGCTGAGTCAAGAGGATCAAGTTCAAGCCCAGCCTGGGCAATTCAGTGACTGAGCAAGACCCTGTCTCAGAATAAAGGATGAAAGGGCTGGGGCTGGGGCTGGGGCAGAGGCCCTAAGTGACAGCCACTCTTGTGTGTGCTTTGAGAGCAGAGGGCGCATTCCAGTCCTGGGCTTGCCTGAACCCTCCCCAGCCTCAGCCTGGAGCTTCTAGGGATTAAGGGATTTGCTGAGGGGTTTGTGGCCTGGCTGGCTCCTCCCACGGAGGACAGGTTGGCCTCCCTGTGGAGTCACTGAGAGGGTAAGAGGCCTTACCCTCTTACCCCTTACCCCTCTTAGTGGTTGTCTTGCCCCAACCACTGTGGAGGTCACCTAGGGAGAGGGAACATTGCAGCCTCCACCACCCACTTTGGTGGGAAATGATTTGATCCCTGGGGACAGGCAGAGGCAAGTCTCTGGGGATCTAAGTGGCCGGCATTAATCCTGGCTATGTCCCTGCTTGCAGCACTTAGTCACCCTCGGCTTCTCAGGAAGATCCGGGTTGTGTTGGGGCAGGGCCCCTCAAAGTGCACAGGGCTCTTGGCCTGCTCAATGTGGCTGTGCAGAGTGCAGAGCCATTCGTGTGGGATGTCCTAGTGGAAGGGAGCCTTGGTAGGGCCATCAGAGAGCCTGGGTGGAACTGCCCATTTTGGGGGCAGTCAGAGGATGTGGCTAGGAAGCACTGGATATGGGCTGGTGGCCTTGGGGCCAGAGCCTGCTCTGCACTCAGTGTATCTACATTACTCCCTGATTCACCTCAGGAGGTAACGGGACTTTGGTGGCCCTGCTTTCTCCTCTCCCAGGTGGGGTGACACCATCTGCCCATCCCATCTGGCCAAAACAGGGTCAGTTTACCTCTCTCTGCCAGCCCAAGGCCTCTGAGTTATGGCCAAAGAGCCCACCCAGCTGGGCTATACTGGCATGGGGGAGCTCCACATTTCCACTGGGGTGGCTTAGGGGAGGGTGCTTGCCCACTGCCACCATCTTCATCACTTGAATGCCCTTGGCAGAGGCTCAGGGTCACCCTGTGGCACTCTGGGGACTCCTCTCTTCTGTTTCTCCTGATGCTCTGTGTGGGGAGGCAGCTCAACTGTGTGGCTTTCCAGCAGTGAAGGCCCTGTAGCATCAGTAGCCCAGCAGTGGGAGAAGAGCAGAGCTTGGGCCACCTATAAGGTCTCCCCGTGTTGCTCACACCATGGAGTGGGGTCTCTCAGGTCTAAGGAGCCACTGTGGAGCTTTCTGTCCTGCTGGGCCCCACAGTGGACCTGGTACTGGCCACTGAGGGATGGGGCTAGTAAGCATGGGGTGCTGAAAGTCTGTGCCCATCTGAGGGGTGCCAGAGGGATGCCATCTCAGCCAGCAGCAGGACTTCACACCACACCCTCACCCAGGAGTGGAGGCTGCCTCAGTCTTCCAGTCTCTCCCTTTAGCATTAAGGCCCCAGCCCAGGCTCTGAGGGGTGGTTTCCTGGGTCTTCCCAGAGCCTCTAGGTCCATCTCTGGTGTTATTAGTTGACATAGTTGTGATACAGAGACCATTGTAGCAACAAAAACGTAAACTATCACTGAGCCCTGACCTGTTACTCAACAATAATACGATTTGTGTTCTGAAGCTCTCAGGGACTTGAAAGGGCTTTCGCTGAAAACAGTGTCTTGCCCAGTGTGATGGCACACCCTTGTAATCTCAGCACCTGGAAGGCTGAGGCAAGAGGATTGTTGCAAGTTCAAGACCAGCCTAGGCTACAAAGTGAGCTCCAGGCCAGCCTAAGCTGCTTAGTGAGACCCCGTTTAAAAAAAAAAAAAGGGGTGTCTCTTCCTTGGAGCCTACAAATGCCCAATAAATAACTAAAAGTAGAACAACCTGGACATGGTGGTGCACACCTGTGGTCCCAGTACTTGGGAGGCTGAGGCAGGATCACTGGTTCAAGGCCAGCCTGGGTTGTAGAGTGAGACCCCACCTCAACTCCACCCCCCAACCCAAAGAAAAAGGTAGAGCAAAGCTTGCCCTTTCTTTTGCTTTTTTTTTTTTTTTTTTTTTTGAGAAACCTGGGATTGAACTCAGCCCTTGTGCTTGCCAGGGAAGCGCTTTGGCTTTGCAGAAGCTGGCTAGTCATTCGGAGACGTCTGTCTAGTGGTTGCCAAAGCAAGGTGGAGTGGCCCTACATTTAGTCCACTTATCACCACTGCAGACTGAGGACCCCAGGACAGGTGATCTATGGGGATACTCGCTGCGCCTCCGTCTGCACTACTACAGCTTGTCACCTGGTCTCCAGGGGACTTCACAGCACCAGCCCTGCCCATCAGCCATGAATCCTCCATGGATGCTGCGTGGCCTGTGAGCTGAGCGAGGATCTACCTGAGGTTACGGTCAAGCAGACTCTGGGCTGTCTTAGCACTCCCTCACACTGGCCTCCTGCCTGGGGGAGGCCAGGCTGACGCTGGCATCAGAGCAGCCCCCATTCTGCCTGCCCTAAGGCCCTTCCTTTCCCTCTTTGCTCTTCCCTTCCTTTCAGGGAATGGCTAGATCTTTGTCAGAGCTCTGTGCCTTTATCTCTAGCTTTCAGTGAAAGCTTTTCCCTGCAATCTTCACGCTTCGGTTTTAACTTCCATCATCACTGAAGCAAGGACTCATGTTGCCTGATGACATGATGACCAAGAGGACACAATACCTGTGGCCAACCTTGGGTCCTTCCTTTCCCTCCCTCCCTCCCTCCCCTTCTCTCCCTCCCTTCCTCCCCCCTCCCCCCTCCCAACTCCTCCCTACCCCACCCCACCTTACCCTTCTTTGTTTCCTTCCTTCCTTTCTGGCCCTGGACCTTGGGCAGACCCAAGCCCCCGCCCCACTAGGGTCCCCTCAGGCCTCCATCAGCACCCACACCCACTCTTTCCTGAATGTTCCTTGCCCATGAAGGAGCAACCTTCATCTAACCCTCGGCCCTCCCAATCAAGAATCCCTTTGAAGTTTCTCCTGCACAAATTCTGGTTTTTCATTTCACAATCTCCTGCCTGACACCTGCTGAAACAGCTCCCATGCCCCGCGGGAGATGATAAGCCCCTGCCCAGCTCTTGCCCTTTCCCACTTAGCCTCTCTCCAGCCCCTGCACTTGCTTCGTACCACTGACCTCTCCTCTCCCCAGGACGCTCCATGCCATGCAATGGTGAGCTGTTTTTGTGGACATAGGGCCTGCACAGCCCCTGAAACCTTCCCTAAATTCTTGTGTCTGGCCCACTCATGTGCTCTGTAAATCTCAGAAAAACCAAAGGCAGTGTCCCTGCTTTGCAAGCTCTGAGTGAGCAGATGGCAGCTGTGACCCTGTGCTGGGACATCGTCCTGTGTCTTGTGGGGAGGGGAGGGGTTGTCCTCAGGGTTGCAGGCAGGGACAGTACTTAGTGTGCAGCCAGGTCCCCCAAGCCCTGTCGATGCAACAGATACCACACAGGCAGAGCAAGGCTAGCCAGATGTCACCACAGTGCCCAGATGGCCAGTGGTGCCCATGTGGCCCAGCAGGGGAGAAGCCCAGGCTGAAACAGGAGAAAGGAGCCAGCTGGGTTGGTTCCGCTTTGCCTAAGTGGGGCCAGGTGCCCATGCCCTGTGCTCAGCTTCTGGGGAAGGCAGTCCTGGCAGCCAGTGCTCACTGCACAGGGTAGGGATCTCTTCTCTGCCTTTCTTGGGAGCACGGCAGGAAAGTTTGGGGTTACTTGTCAGGGAGGGCCACCTCAGAGCTTCTAGGCTGCTGGGGGTGGCAGCAGGGACACCTGTCCTGGAAGAACCTGGCAGAGCACTCAGCAGCCCAAGCCTAGGTGGGGCACCCAGGGCAGGGACACAGGTGTGGCCATCCAGACAGCAGTGAGTACCAGGTAACAGCTGACCTGGAACTACCCAAGGTGGCACTGGGTGTTCCAGCCCACAGGGGACTGCACCAGCCTTGGACACCGGCCTTCTCCCCCAGAAAGCAGCTGACTCTCAATTAGCTCTGGTAACAAGAAGAGGCTATGTCACCACCTGTGCAGTTATTTCTTTTGCCTCTGGAAGGTTTGGGCCTGCCTTTCCTGGCTGAGAGGATGGTCATTAAATCTCTCAGAAGAGGGTGGGTGGGGACAAGGATGGGGGCAGGGGACAGGCTCTCTGATTTCACCCATCTCAGTAGGACAGAGCTCAAGGTGACCCAAACCACTTCAGGGTCCCCTCTGGGTGGCAGTACTGAGGGGCACTTCCCGGGGGCCCAAGTCCTCCCTCACTCACCTATTGAAGAGAACCCACTGATGGGGGCCTCCCATTCCAGCTGCCCTGCTCTGCATGGCCAGCAGGGGGCACTGGAGCACAAAACCAAGTCAGACTTGTGCCCAACCAGTTTCAGTTGAAGTTGCCCTGGCCCTGCTGGTCCTTCCTCAATACCTGTTTCCTACTAGAACAGGCCCCAGCCTTGAAGTTGGTTCTAAGCACTCAAGGGAAATGTGGAAATAGGGATATGGGGGTCCTTTATTTCTGTTTGTTTTTTTTGAGACAGGGTCTTGCTATAACTGAGGCTGGCCTTGGAATGCTCAGTGATCTTTCTGCCTCAGCTTCCCAGGTATGGGTTTACAGATGCACACCACCACACCTGCCCCTCATTCCTGTTGTTCCTGGTCTCACCCTGACCTAGCCCTTCAAGTGCTGTTATCCCCAGGGTCCCATGCCTGCCCTGCCAGGCCAAGCCCCTCCTGCCTTAGCCTCAACCTGAACCTTCTCCCCTGGGGACTGGAGTGTGTCAGCCAGGTCCTGGCTCACTCAGCCCAGGAAGCCCTTGTTCTCCTCCAGGCCCAGTCCTGGCACCAGGGGCTTGTGGGGGAAGGTTGTGGTGAAGGACACCCCCAGGCAGAACCCTGTGTGAGAGCCAGGCCCCAGGAATCCCAGAGCATCCACAAGCAGAATCGGGTGCAGAAAGGAGAGAACACGAAAGCATCAGAATTCCAACTGCTTTTTATTAAAAAAAAAACTCAAAAAACAAAAAAAACCCACCCAAACCTCACAATACAACAGCACTACCCATCCTAACAAGCTAGTGTAACAGGTTAGCCATGAACATAATGAAGATACCCTGGTCATATGTGTCACTCTCTGGATGTCACAGGGATGGGGTGGGTTGGGGTGGCTCCCAAAGTCAGGAGGCAGTGCTGGCCACAGGAATAAATAAACATGGTGTCCATCAGTAAGATGTCAGGACAAAACACAGAGCAAAGGGTTACACAAGATGCTTTGAAACAGAGCCCCCCCAAGGACCAGACCCTGGGGCCAGGTCAGCTGAGTATGGCAGCAGAGAAGGGCTTCCAAGTTGGCTAGGTCTCCCCGAGGGTGGAGGGCAGGCAGGATGAGCCAGCACTCTGAACCCTGAGCTTCCCACCCCTGTGAGGTGTGGTTCCCCTTAGAGGCACCAGGACCTGTCCACGTCCCAACCACCTGAAGTTACCAAGGTGCACAGAGGCCCCTAGAGCTGCCCACTCTTCCTGATGTAGGCAGTGATCTGGGGCCCAGGCATAGCCCAAAGCATGGCCCAAGGGTGTCCCAAAGTCCCTGCTGTATATCCTCTCCTCCCAGCCTGATCTGGGGGCAGAGACCAGGTCTTGCCAGAGAACTGAGACAGCTGTGGGAAACCCTGGGCTGCCCACCCTGGTGACTGCTGCCTAGCACCTACAGTTCCTAGCAGAGGGACCTGGTATATTGAGGGGGTCATCTTCATCTCTCATTCATTTATGACCGTACAGAATCACAGGGCTGGGGGTGGCTCCGTGTGAGCACTGCCTAGCGTGCTGGGGTCCCTCCCAGCACTGCGAGAAAGAGAGTGGGGAGAGCCAGCCACACACTGTGGAGCTTTCAGACCATCAGTGCAATGTGTGGCCATGACAGTGACATCCGAGTTTCAGTAGTTCCATGCACCCTGTGACAGTAATCTGGTCCCTTGAGGCAGACAGCATTAGGCGAGAAAATTACCTCGTCTCTCTGCCCCAGCTCTTTAAAAAATAATTACCTCAGGACAAGGGAGATGGCTCAGTAGAATAAGCGCTTCCCTGGCAAGCACAGGGCCTGAGTTCAATCTTCAGTTCCGTGAAAAAAATCAAATAAAATTAAAAAATCACCTCAGGGGTATCAAGGTGACCCCATGTTTAAGTTAAAGAGAAACTAAATTTAAAAAAAAGGAGCAGGGCTAAGGTGACAGAAGTCCCTTGCGCCCAGGAAGCCATGAGCAGATGTTCATCTTCCAGGGTAAATTCGTACCAGAGTTTCGACCACTGCTGTGGATGCCCAGTCCGCGGAGGGATACAGGGGAGGCTGGGCCCTGGTGGAGTTCAGGGGCCGGAAGCTGCTCTTCTGAGGGCATGGTCTGAAGACGGCTGCATGCTCTACCCCTGCGGCTTCTAGGCAGCTGGGCTAGGGCTCCTGCGGGACCACCTGCAGGAGCTTCTGGCACAGGACAGTCGTAGAAACTGCAGGAAGAAGGTGGGCGTGAGTGCTGACTGGCCCGGGCTGCAGCCAGAGACAGGCACGGTGGGGTGTGAGCCTGCAGCCCTGCGGCCTGGCCCACACTGTCCAGAGCAGCACAGACGGAAACCTGTTTTAGAGAACCCTGAAGACTGTGCTGTGGACACTGGGCGCTGCCCCAAGGCCTCCCCAAACGTGCCAGCCAGAGGCAGAGCTCCAAGCAGCCTGGCAGCAGATGAGGTGGGAGCTGCTCACCCTGCAGAATGCCTGCGTAGGACCCATCCCCACACCAAGAGCCCTGGATCCCAAGGGGCACACAGCCCTTCCCACAGGTCCACACCCTGCTCCACCCTGGCTCTAGACTGCCAGGGTCCTACAGATGGGGGCCACCGGACACTCTCTACCAAAGGAGTCTGGTTCAGGTCAGTGTTCCACCTTGGGCTCAGGCGGGGTCTGCGTGGGTCAGGCTAGGCACACATTCTGCTCCAAAGACAGGTGGCGCCTAGGTCCTGCCAAGGATTGAGGACAGGTGCTCCTCGCCCACACAGGGGCCGTCCCAGACCTCAGGGCTCCCAGCACCATGATGGGTGAGGACAGGCCCTGTGCCTGCTTTGATCAGGGCCAGCAGCCCAATCAGTCTCATCCCCAGGGTGCAGGGGCCACCCTCAGTGTCAACGGACCACAACCCAAGCAGGAAGCCATGCTGCCCAGCATGCCAGGCTCAGTGCTGGGTGGGGATGGGGTCCCTGACACTCACAGATGGCTTGCAGGAGCCACTTGGGCTTGTTCTTCCACCAGACACCAAAAAAGTAGATAGGCAGCCCACTGAGAATGATTGTGAAGCCGATGGCACATTCTACAGGCGTCTTCCAGAAGGACACAGCAATCAGGAATAGGCAGGCCAAAGTAAAGAACACAGGCAGAGCCAGGCTCACCTGTGTAGAGGCAAGGTATCATCCACCATGCCCACGGGCCCCACGGAGAGTCCCCATGCAGTCCCCACTGGGCCCTGGCTGTCCTTCAGTGTTCCCAGGGTGACAGCTGTGAGCAGGGAAAGGTGAGTCTATACCCTATGGCTTTACTCAGACTCAGCACAGGGGGTTGAGGGGAGCAGAAGCTTATGCTGTGCTGGCCTGAGTCATCGTGGCAGAAAAGAGGTCAGGGCTTAGGTTCCCAGGGACTGCCCATGGGTGCCCTTACTGTGGGTGGTGCGGCCGTGTTCCTGGCTGGCAGCAGCAGGCACTAGGCTAGTCCCCATGACGGGTGTGGCACTGCTGGACATGCCAGGCACTCCCTCCCAGGCTCTCATGGGGCCTTGCGCTGCAGGCACCTGAAAGCTCACATGCCCAGCACAGCAGCAGGGAGTAGGGCCCAGGACATCGAGTCACCAGCTAACCTCCCTTGACCCAGGCTCTCCTGTCCCACTGGGTAAAAGACAAGGAGAAGGCCTGTGGTGGGCACTGGTATGACAGCCTGGTTCCAAGGGAACCGGCCGGGAGACAGGAACTGCTAGCTGCCAGCTACCACGTGCTCTCTCTTGCCCACTGAATTCACACAGGCTATGCCCAGCACTCAAGCTTATAGCCCTGTGGCTGAAACTCTGCTGTCTACTAAAACCTTCTTGTGTGATGTCTTGTTCCGTCCTCTCCAGAGGACAGCTTTATGACCCAGGTTAGCTGAGGGGAGACAGGCCAGGCAGGGACAGGACTGAGGTGCCATCTGATGCCTAGGCTCCAGGGGACACCTGGCCCTGTGTGCCACTGCACAGGCCCAGGACCAGGTGTGTACCTTGATGGGCCGCTCCAACTCAGGCTTCTTGAAGCGGAGCCAGATCATGCCAATGATGGCCAGTGCCACACACAGCCAGTTGAAGAAGCTGAAGAAGTTAATGACGGAGAAGATGTCTTTGGAGAAGGCGTAGAGCAGGGTCATGATGCACTGCAAAGAGATAGGTGGTGAGCCCTCAGCTGCACACCCAGAATCCATCCCATGAAGGATACTGATGGGCAGCCTTTGGGGTCTCAGCGGCAAAGGCAGAAGCTGGGGGTCAAACTGAGGGACTCTGTGGAGGATGAGGGAAGGCGCTGCTGGGAGCAGGTGAGGCCAGGTGGGCTGCACCTCCCTCCAACCACACAGGGATTTCTCTTAGCTCAGTACACTGAGAAGCCAGGGGCTAGCCATTCGTGCCCACCAAGTGGCCCTGAGCACAGCCCTTGGCCATAGAGAGCACAGCCTCCCTAGACCCCAAGGGCAATGAAAGCTGAGCTCAGGCCTGTTCCCAGCAACTCCCTGCGGCTCCCCAAAGGCTGCTGACTTGGGGTGTCTGACTGTCGCTACAGCTGCCACAGGTGACATATAGAGTTAGACTTAGGCTCGAGTCTCTGGGGTCCCCTAGAGGCTGTGCCACACACGCCTAAGATACTTCCCAGCCCTACATCTGCTCTGGGCGGTGCTGGCCGCCAGCTCAGGCAGTGCAGTGTGGGCACGAGTGTACAAGAGCTAGTGTGCGCTCAGGGGCCCTCAGCAGGCTTACCGTGAACACAAGGGATGGCACAGGTGTCAGGAGGTCAGGGTGGATCATGGAGAGGACCGAGGGCAAATGGCCCTCCCGCGATCCCACAAAGAATAGCCTGGGGGTGGAAAGCAGGTAGTTAGCCTGCCTGCAACCCTGTAAGATGATGATGATACCCAGACCTCCTCAGTGCAGGGAGGGAGCTCAGGGTGATCCTCACTCTCAGGGTCTGCACTTGGTGACAGCTAGCATCTCTCAAAGCACAGGAAAGTGGAACAAAGGCTGTGGGACCTGGGGTGAGCTCACCTTGAGGACGTGAACAGGGACCCGTTGACCGAGCCGAAGCAGGACAAGCCCACAAAGACTGGGATGATCCAGGACATGACTCCCAGGTGGTAGTTGCCGAAGTCCTGGGGACACAGCTCTGTGAGCCTTGGCCTGATGTCAGGCAGCCCCACCACTCACCAAGCAGGTCTGCCTACACCTGGCTGTGGGTCTGACCACTCTATGAGACTTGGGGACCCTGCAGGAGCTCCTTCAGCTACTGAGGGCCAAGCATTGCCTACGGTTCGGTCTCCGCCCTCCTTGTCCTGGTTTTGGCAGGTAGCGAACACTTAGTCCACTTGTTAAACAAGCCCTGGCCAAGGGCTCAGAGTGGCAGGCGGTTGTAGAATCCAGGCCGTGCTGATAGATGTAACACTCTCAGTCCTGCTCCAGTGCTGCTGACGGCTGAGGTCAGGGAACCCTGTGCCTCTGGACACGGACCCCTGGGACACCACGAAGTGCTGACTTCTCACCCACCTGGGTGCTGCCTGGGCCCTAAGACTTTTCAAGCCTAGAGACTTCAATGGCAGCCAGGTAAGGGTGCCCTACACTTCCTGCTGTCCTGGTGAACACTCTGTGGGTGCCTTTAGGAGACGGAGGACAAGGACTCCAGCCATTGGGGCAAGAGAGGGGCTTGCACCCTGGGCCTTACCACGGCCACAGCCTCAGACGACAGCATCTGCTCAGTAGACAGTGTGGTGAAGTAGGCCAGGTTGGTCAGCACATACACCAGTGTGACGATGGGCAGGGAGATGATGATGGCCAAGGGCAGGTTTCTGGGAGCCGTGGGGAGGGACATGCATCAGAGCGCAGCCCGGGACCATGGCCTGCCCCATCGTACCCCATGTCTGAGCTCCGATTCTTGGGCACATGGTGACAGTGCCAGTGACAGGTGCTTGCAGTTGGAGGTGGACAAAAAGCGTGAACAGAGGGTGGCCCCTTAGCAATGCCAGCCTTATGGCCCCGACTACTGAGGGTACCATACAGTAACCACGAGGGCCATGAGTATTGTGGCCACTCAGGCTGAACCCTGGCAGCTCTGCACAGCCCCCTCAGTCCCCACCCTGTTATCTGGAGCCATGGTTGACTCGAATTCCTGGGAGCTGCAGCCTGGTCCCCTCCACACTGCCTTCCTGTGTGGGGACCCAGGAATACTTGCATTGTGCAAGCTCTCTACCCAGGCATACTGTCCCACCCCCAGGATTCCATCAGGTCATAGGACCCCACCAGCCAGCTTGGGCCCTGCCCTACATTTCCCCAAATGTAGGCCAAACCCCAGTGCTATTGCTCTGGACATACCTGTAGGGGTTGATCATCTCCTCTGTGACAAAATTCAGGTAATTCCTAGAATTCAGACACATTTGTTACATATTACTCCCTCGAATATTAGGAAAGGGGGAGGTCATGCCCGGTGCCCATCACATTGCTCAGCCTGTGACCCCTCTACAGGGGCAGTTGGCCTCATCCCTGAGGTAGATGTAGAGCTACAGCCTGACACACCCCCATCCCCAGTGAGCACTGAAGGGTGAAGCGTCTACATCCCTAGAGGTCAGAGCAACCAGGGAGAGGGTGCACAGGCAGCCACAGGGACAGCATGGCTCTCAAGCCTGTGTCTGCTCTGGGCACCCTGGTTTCCATACCTTCCCCACCTGTCTACCCTGTGGCACTTCTGTCCCCATGTAGCCATCCTGAGGGCCAGTGGCTACAGAAGCAGGTCAGTGGCTAATCCTGCGGGCCATGCATCAAGTGGTCAGGGGCCATCTCAGCTTCTTCTGAGACCACTTGGAGATTTGGGATTTCTGGACATGTCAGGGCCCCAGACATTCTGGGACCTACCATCCTCCATAGGCGAAGAGACCACTGTACAAAGCCAGCACAATCTTCCCCACATCCAGGTTGGTGCCTTTAAAGGAGGATTCAGGATTGAGGTTGGATACGTCACCTGGCACAGGACAGAGAAAGGTATGCTGGTCAGGACACATTGGCATTCAGGAATGTCCCTGCAGCAAAATGCCTAACAAACAAAACTCCAGGATGAAGGCTTTGGACAGGGACAACCTAATGCACCCACTGCCACCTGACTGCCTTCAGCCCTGACTGCGCAGGTCCAGGTCATGGCAGACAAGCAGGTGGCCTGCCTGCCCCTGGGTCTCCCTCCCCTCCAACTCTGGAAAACATTCTGGAACATGCAGCTCCTTACACCATCAGTGCCCTACTCTGTCCCACAGCACAGCTGGGCAGCAGCTGTTCCACAGTGGGGACCCTGAGGCAGGGCTGCCTGTGCCAAGCACTTTGAGACAGGAGGACCACATGCCCCATTCATGGTGACCAGGATGTCACAGGCCATCTCGCACCACAGAGCCAAGCTCAGTCTAGTGATGAGGAAGAGCTTCTGATGAACACAGGGTGGCCAGCTGCTCTCACGAAGGACAAAACTCCATGCTCAGGACACTAGGGGCTCTGATGGACACAGGTTCGAGGCCCCACCAGTGGCAGTGGAGCCCAGGCCCCAGTCTGCCAGCAAGTTGGCTCCCTTGATGCAAGCACCTAAGTTCCTTGAGGAAGGCCAGGTCCAGGAGCAGAGGCAACCTGAGACCACGTGGCCTCTCAGGTGGTAAACTGGGACAGAGTACGTGGAGCTCTGCTGAGGATGTCAGGCCTTAGAACTGCCCCACCCCTGTGCAGGGGTGACAGTGTGGGTGGGTGTGAGCCACAGACAGGTGTCTTTGTACCTGGTGGCACCAGCCCCACCTGCTCAGAGCACCGAGGTACAGTGGGCTCAGGCTGTGCTAGATGCCAGCCGGCATGGGAGGCCTCAGCACCAGACCAGTGCAGGCTGTCCCTTCTCTTCACAGGTGCTGCAGAGTGGGTGCCAGCCCCCCGCCCCCAGATGTACTTGGCTGGGGCTGGCACAGCCCAAGACAGATGGAGCTCCGCCTATCTGCTATCTACTCCAACCCCAGCTCTGCTCAAATGGCTGAGGGTTGGTACACCCCAGGCCCCAAGCATGCGCCCTCCCAATCCGTTTGCAACAGCAGCTGCTCCAGGCCCAGCTCTGCTTCAGCCCCAGAGAGGAGACGCAGGAGCCTCATGTCTTTCCAGGAATCAGAGGGTTGGGATCTCTGCTCCAGAGCAGCCACTCCAATCACCCCACCTGCAACGCAAGGCCTGGAATTTCAAGGTTCAGGCAGTGCTGCTGGAGATACAATGTCTAGTGGTTGAAGTCAGAGATACTGCTCCAGCCCTGTAACACACAGAACCAGTGCCCGCCCCCCAAGTCCAAGGAGGTGGTGGTGCCTGCTTAAATCATACCCTGTCGTTAGGAGGCCTCCTCTCCTGCTGACCTGCCCAAGGCCAAGATTCTGCTCCCACAGCACTACAGAAACTGAAGGGTTCATTCAGCCCCAGGAGCTGAGCAGAGCAGCCACCCCACCCCCCACCCTGAGGGTAAAGCAGGGAGTCCAGAAGTCCCAGTGGAAAGCCCTACAGGGGACAGTGGCCCAGATCCCTGAGGCACACAGAGGCAGTCCTGGGAACAGTCCCCTCGGGGGAGCCGGGAGAGTGCCCCAAGCAAAGGGCTGGCTCGTGTCCTCTGGCTCCTTGCTGACAGATGCCTGGGAGGGTGCCCACAGTGGCCAAGGGCGCTTGGGAAGGGGACCAAGAAAGACTTCTTCCCACCCGGGCCATGGCCAGCCTGAGGGCCTCTACTCAGAGGACAGAGGGTCCCTATGGCTGTCGCATCCCCAAGACCAGGCTTGTCCTCTCTTGCAGGACGTGGAAAAAGCCCCACTTGGGCCCAGGCACAAGAAAAGTGTGATCTGGAGATGGGCACAGCTCTAGGCAGGGGGATGGAATATCTCAGTGGCAGGAAAGCCACTTCTCAGCAGGGACAGCCTCTGTGGAGCTTCTATACTCAGCCCACGCTGCCCTTTCGGGTTCCATGTGCCAGTCAGCTGCAATGTGAGCGTTAGAACAGTGTCCACCAAGCCCCATCCATCTGGGACTTCAAAACATGTCCTTATTTGGAAAGATGGCCTTTGTATATACCACATAACAAAGGATTTGGAAGTGAAGTCCAGTAAGCCCTGAGTCTAGTGACCACGTCCTCAGGACAGGAGACAGACAGTGAGCCAGCCATGTGAGATGGAGTGGATACTGTGGCAATGCTGCTGCCAGCCAAGAGATGCCCACAGTCACCAGGCTGGCACAGCAGGAAGAGGCAAGAAGGACCCTCCCTGGGTTCTCAGGATTTTGTTTTTCTTTTCTTCTTCAATGACATGACTATGCTAACACCTTGACTTCTGGACTTCGCACTTCTTGCACAGGAGGGGTATCTGGTGTTGGAGTAGCCAGTGCCCTGGGATGGTTCACAGACGAGGCACCTTTGCCCTGCCAGGGCTTGCCCACCCTAGCGTCTTCTGAGCATGGGGCCGCTGCTATCTCCCGGTGGTAAGGGCTTACCTTGGCAGGTGGGAGAGAGGGGCTCCAGGCTCTGCTGCCACTGCTGCCCCTGGAGCCCGGGTTCTTGCTAGGGGCAGTGCCAGCACAGAACCCTGGCCAGGCACCTTCTCCAGCTCCCCCAGGTTCTGGTGCCTGTCCGCCTGATGTCTGGAAGGGCTTGGTACAGGTTTGGAGAGTGTGGCCAAAACAGATCATCCTGTCCTCTGAAGTCACAGGGGCAGCCCCTCAGCTCTGAGATGAGCTATGGACCTTAGATCTATGGGGAAAGGGCCTTCCCCCACCCAGTCTTGGGGGAAAAGCCCAGCTTCCTGTCCTTTGATCCTACCCACAGGAAAACACGTGCTTCCAAACCTGTTACTCTTCCAATGCTGAAGCAATAAGATCCCGGCAGGCCCAAGGGGAAGGACTCAGTTCCACCCAACACAGGTGGGCACAGTGGTACATGCTGGTAACCTCAGCACTCTGGTAGGCTGAGGCAAGAGGTTCAGAGTACAGTCCCCACCTGGGAAATCTAGCAAGAGTTTATTTCAGAATTTTTTTTAATTTATCTATTGTTTTTCATTTGTGTGTGTGTGTGTGTGTGTGTGTGTGTGTGTGTGTGTCCAGCTCAGCCCACCAGGGGGCGGGACTGGCTGGCATGTGGTGCTGGGGGATTGAACCGTGGTCCCTGTGCTTTGCTAAACTTGTTCTAAGTAGGTGGTTTAGACCACTGAGCCATCTCACCAGCCCCTATTTCGGAATTTTAAAAAGGGCTGGGCATGTAGTATAGTGTGAAGCCTGAGGTTTCAAAAAAGAACCCTCAAGGGAACTGCGAGCCACACAGCCGCAGTCCTGAGCATTCCACAAGGGGAATTCTGTCTCCAAGGCCTGGTCACCCAGCTCTGAGGACTGAGCCTGAGTCTGGCAGGAGTCTGGGGAACGCAGAGGCCCTGGGCAGTGAATCCTGCCTGTCCTTACGTGACCTACACCAGCCAGCTACCTCCTGTCACAGACCCACAAGCTGGATCCCCACAAAGGGGTGGCCTGGGCTCCGTCCAAATTTGCCCTGAGAGGGCCAGGGAGGTGGCTCAGTAGGATAAGTGCTTGACTGGCAAATGCAAGGATCTGAGTTCAATACCCGGTTCTGCCAAAAAAAAAAAAAAAAGACAAACAAATTTGCCCTGAGAGCCTGCAGTGGGTTGTGGCTGGTTTTCCCACTCGGGTAAACCACCCAGGCTCAACTGGGATCTGGCTGGCTCCCAACCTGTCCAGCTCCATGTGGCAGAGCGGTGCCCTAAGCGTGGACCCTTCTGTGGCCAGAACACGTCCCCTGCTCAGGTGTGCAGCCTTGACGCCAGCCCCGCAGAGGAGCTAAGCTTGCGGCTACAGACCACACACAGGTGTCCAGGGCTGGTGTCAGGAGGAGTCTGGCACCTTCTCCCCCAGGACCCTTGGCAGTAAGGAGCGGAGGTGACCACTCACACACAGCTGGGCTGAGACATCTTTGTTTTTTGTGCACATACAGGCCAAATGTCCTCCCAGAGGGGCACTGAGCCAGTGATGTTACATGGGAGGACAGAAAGTTTCAATGGAACCTGCTCTGTCCACGCGATATCTGGTCTGACTGCTAGAGAAGGTTTAGTGTGTTCTCGACTGGACTCTGCAACTCAGCAGAGCCACAAGAGGTCTAACTGTGTGTCCTCTGGGGGACCCGCAGGGATAAGGCTGTCAGCACCCCACTCCCACCTTGGCCTCAGAAACAAAGGCCCAGCAGCCACTTGTGTTTGGGAATGGTTTGACCTCAGGCGACAGCCCAAGCCTGCCCACCCGCCCACCTATCTCCTTGACCTCCAGGATGTCCCTCTGTCACCTATCCAAGTCCCCATCACCCACCCCACCACCTCGAGTCCTGTGACAGCCAACAGGCATGGCTCTCTCTGGATATGCTGCACTAAATGAAAACAGACACCTCACATGCCAGTGGCCCCCAAGCCCCTACTGTCACCCCATCTGTCCCAGCCAGGGGCAGCTGAAACTCCTCCCATACCCCAGGGGCCCACAATGCACCCAGCACTCTGCTATCTCCTCTTGCACTGGTGCCTGAGGAGAAGCCCCTGACCAAGGACCTCCCCAGCCCTTCTGTGACTCCTTTGCACAGTGCGCAAGTGTTCTCTGTTCCTGGTCCAACACCCTCGCATGACCAGCCTGGGGCCTTGGGGCTGTTTATCTGGGGTGAGACAGAGTGTGGCTGCCTGCTAGCTCCCTTGTGCTCCACAGCCTTGTCTGAATAACCAAGCCCTGGACAGCAGGGTGCATCTTGGTGGGCCCAGGAGCTGGGAGGTTCTGCCGAAGGCTAGCAACTGCATACCAGTTCATGGCCAGACAGCCAGAAACGGGCAGCACAGGAAGGCAGAATGTTGGAGCCCACTGCACCAGACACTGAGGCAGTGGTTCCAGGGCCGGATGGATGGGGGAACCTAGGTTCTCCAGGCCCACGCAAGGCTGAAGGAACAACAGCCCCTTCGTGCACCACAGCAGTCTCTGCCTTGAAGGACCTTGGGCACAGCCACCTCCACAGGCACAGGGATCCCAGTGCTAGCAAGAAATAAAGTGGGGCAACTGTTTGGGGAGAAAGGTCACCCTCTTAACACGTCCTCCAGAGTAAAGGCATCTATCCAGAATAGAGCAAATCCCCTGGGAAGAAAGTGGGACAGGAATTCTGCAGACTCAGCAGGGCATCCAGAAAGGGAATTGCTGGGGCACTGGGGTGGGGGGTGGGGGTGGGGCAGCAGATTTCTCATAACAACCGGGATTATACACACATTGTGTGTTCAGGACAAACAAAAGTTTTTTGCTGACCCTACTGGAGTTTGTTTTTATAAAAATCAAGTTCAAGCTCCTTATCGGTCCATCAAATCCCAGCAGTCAGCGCAGTCCCCTCCCCAAAACTATACAGAGTAGCGTCTGCCCCAGCTTTGTGAAGTCTGTGGGTGTAGATGCTTGTCTTTCTGTACCCAGCTCCCTTCCCAGAGCCAGCCACCTCTTCTGCATGTGGATGCCATCCCCCAAGGGTCCTGGAGATTTGAGTGTGAGCCCTCCTCCAGAAGGTGCTGCGAGCTAAGTCCAGGAGGCTACCTGCCCGACAAGGGCACAGGTGGCAGAGCAGAGTCTAGGCCAGCCTTCGACGGCTCCAGTGGGGAGTTCAGGTGATACAGTGTCCAGTGGCTCTCACGATGAGGTTCTGGAAGAACCACTTGGGCCACTGTGCAGTCACCTGAACTGTGTGTGTGTGTGTGTGGGGGTAACAGGGGCAACTGTGGGGGGGTAATAGGGGCACTTCAGTGATGATGGGGAAGGGGGTACAACAGGAGCAAGTGCTGCTGGGTACCAAATAGGCCAGGAGCTCTGCAAAGCCCACCTGTCCCAGAGATCTTAACATGCATTCCCCCTACACTTGGGGCCATCAGGTAAGATGCCCCACAGGAAGGACACACAGGCAAGGCTATGGAGCACAAGGGAGCTAGCACACAGCCACACTCTGTCTCACCCCAGATAAACAGCCCCAAGGCCCCAGGCTGCATGGTGCCTGGCCCTGGAGGGGCAGAGCTTCTCCCCTCCCATCTTCACGTGACAAGCAGGAAGGCCAGAAGGGACATTAGAGCTCACTGGAACCCTAGCCTCATCCTCCCACCCAAAGTGGGGAAGCACCTGCACTAAGCCACTTTCCTGTCTGTGCTGTGTGGCCACAGGTCTCGGCAACCTACAGGAAGTGACAGGCTGGCACAGCTGCTGCTATGCAGCAGGATGCCCTACCTTCCTGGGACACCCTGGTACCAAGCCAACTGTGTGCTGGGGCACTGCCTGAGTGAGAAGCCCACAACCTACCAAGCTCCAAGCTTCCCTGGGAGAGCACTCAGAGCCCAGCAGTGTTCCCAGGCCTGCCATCACCTGGTGGGGACTGCTTAGTACCTGTGCCTAATTCCTCACTATGGAATATTATATGGTTATGGAAAAGTGGGGTAGGATGCAGGCAAAGATGCAGGGGGAGCTTCACGTGTGGGGTGTGTGTGTATGTGCACCGGCGTGCATGCACAGACATCCACACGAACACCAGCAACGCCCACCCACTCACTCCTCACTGAGTAAGAAAATGGGTGCCACGGAGGGCACATGGTGCTCACTCTCCTACCCACCCACCCAGCACCCCAGGGCAAAGGCAGCCAGGAAAGCAGACTGAGAGACTCAGTGACCTGCCTGCAGTCACACAGCCTGAGAGCAAAGTCAGGCTGTCCAGCCTAAAAGCCCAACACTGCTGTGCCCTGGCCCTGTGTGTGTACGGTAAGTACATCTCCGTGGCAGGATTTATAGGCTTCTGTCTTGATTTTTTACCCTTACTTGATCTTTCACTTTTTTTTTAACAGAAAAGGAGAACAATGTCCCTCAGTCTACGCAGGGAGCCACATTCCAGGCCTGGCACCCACGCCCAAGGTCAGATGCTGTCCTCCTGGGAGGACTCTCCCCACGCAGGGGCTCCTTGTGCTGCCACGGGACCTAAGCCATGCAGTCTCCCACCCCCACCAGGACCTGCAGGAGAGTCATTTGAGCCATCACACCACCAAGAGATCTCAAAGATTCTGCAGGCATATATGTGGGGGTGTGGACAAGGGTTAGGCTTGGCACGGGATGCTCTGCACCTTCCCCTGAACCAGGGTGGATTTGGCCCTGGGAGTTCAGGAATATCACTGCTCAAACCACAGAAAATGCAGGGTTCCTGCCCAGGCCCACATGTGGGCCCCTGGCTCTGCGTGCATTCCCTGGGGCACCTGCAGGATCCATTCCAAATGGGCACACTCCACTCCACAGCACAGTGCTTGGGGACAGGAGCTCCATACCCATAAGACAGACACAGAGCAGGTTCCATGTACCTGGCTGGCACCACACTCACCCCTTGCAATCTGGATGAAGCCGAGCAGGATGATCAGGGACAGGGCCAGGAGCTTGGCAGCTGCGAAGGCATCCTGCACACGGGTAGCGGCTTTCACGCTGTAGCAGTTCACAGCAGTGAGAAGCACTGTGGGGACAAAGGCACTGTCAATCTTCACAGCCAGTGAGGTCAGGACAATGGGACCCTAGGGAAGCAGGTTGAGTCCACACCAGACCCTCCATCCTATTCCTGTCTGGGGCTTTTGATAAACTTGGCTGGTGCTCTATGGCCAAGATCAAAAGTAAAAACACCAAACTCTTAAAAGTGCGGGGTTTCCAGGTACCCCTAGACTTCCCTAACAGATTTCCCTTTGAAGGAGTAACTTTCAGCCTATGAAGGGACCTGCTGCCAGTCCACAGGAAGAACCCACTTCCAACTCTGGGGAAATTTGCAAGCTGGCTGCTGGGAGAATGGCTGTGTCCCCCTGCACCTTGGTGACCTCTGGCAGTGCCTGTGGATGCAGTGAGTAACCCTCCCCAGTGACCTAGGTGCTGGCAGATGGAAACACAGGAGACCCGTTAGTAGAGATCTGTATTGAACCTGAGGATGATGGGGCCACGTGGAGCCAGCCTGGGACTGAGGCAAGGAAAGGGACATAGGGACCCTCCTCACACCAGGACTTCTCCCTGTAGCCACAGTGCTGGGCAGCCAGGGAGAGGCAACCACATGTTCCCACTCTTCTGTGGTCAGAAGAGTCGATAGTGAGAACTGAGAATTCACACCCAACGCTTACCAGCACCTGCCAAGTCTGAAACTAGAGCCTGGAAAGGCCTGCAAGGCCTCTGGAGGAGAAGAGGGGATCCGGCCACAGATAGGCAGCTAAGACAGTGACCAACACCCCAGATACTGGCCAGTCCTCCCTGGGCCCTCTGACACTAGCAAACACAGCTGTTCTCTAGCACTAGGCAGAAAAAAAGTATATTTTTAAAAAGGTGACAGATACGCACGGCCTACTCCTTCCTACTGTGCTGTCTCTGCTCACCACGCTCCTAAGGGCCAGGTGGCCTCGAGTTTCCCTCTCAATGGGCAGGCAGGGAGATGTACGGCTGCCTTACTCTGGTCCCAGCACTGAAAAATCCACATCGTCTCTGGCTGCAAGCATCCACAGATGTCACAGGCAGGATCTCCTTCTGGTCACCAGCCGTAGTCAAACTTTAACCAGCGCCCTCCCCACCAGGTGCTGTGAAAGCCTGAGATCTCCGCCCCCAAGGATAACTCTGAAAGCCCAGGTCAGCTTGGGCCAGGACACCCAGTGACTTTTCCTTCAGCTGAATTAATTATACACAACTTCAGGACCAGGTCTCAAAAATAACGAATCTATGCTAATTAGCTGGATGGGTCACTTCAGGGACAGGAAAACAGGAAGGATCCCCCAGTCTGGGCAGGATCCTGGATCCCACCGCCAGGCAACTCCTCTCCGGAAAAGACTCAGCAGCCGCTCTGCAGCCCCGGCTGATGCAAGGCGCCACCCTGCCGCAGAGCGCTGAGAATCTCGCCTGGAGGTGTGGGGCTGTGGTTACTGTCACTGCAATGCTAAAGTGACCCACGTGGGGACTCCCAGCGCATGGAGCATGTGGACTAGCTTCAGAAGTCCCTTTTCCTGTTCAGGAAATAAAACGCTTCCAGTCTGGCTCGTTCCATCCAGACACCTGGTCACCAAGCTCTGAGCCTCGCATGCAGGGCTGGGCCTACTCTTACCAGAGTCACAATTCCTAAGGGAACACGGAGCTGGAGCTCCAGCTCGACACCTGCAGCGCGTCTGCCCCTCCCCCAGGCAGGTCCCGGGTTTCCGTTCCGGCTGCAGCAAGAAGCAAGGGAGTTGCATCAGTCGCCTCAGGGGCGGGGCACGCCTGGGCGGGGCCTGGGCCGGGTCCAGACGCCGGAGACTGGCAGGCTGTGAGCGTGAGTCTCTCGTAGGGACTGGCAGGGAGGTGCGCAGCTGCGCTACTCCAGGAGCGAGAGCAGGCAGGCTCCCTCTCCCCATTTCTCAGGGGCAGACACTGTGGGTGTCCAGGAAATGGGGCAGCAGAGGCCTCTGAGCCCAACCCAGACAATGCTTCATCCTGGCCCTAGGCAGGGGCTCCTCCTCTGCCGCCCACGCCTGCCCTCCCAGAGATCCCAGCCGGCTGTTCCCTGCCAGGAAGTCCTCAGAAAGGCCAGGGCCCAAGTGGACAAATGAGGCCAACAGGTACCATGGCAGTGACCACTCTGAGCAAAGCTCCTCTGGCCACTGATGCAGACACTCCTGACGTAGGGGAACCAGGTCACAGCCTCCAGGGTGAACAAAGGGGACTTTTATAATGCCATTTCTCTCATGAAAGCACTAGACTGGATGATGAAACTTTAATGCCACTGGCAGGACAATGGGCAAACAAGGGCTTCATTATCCTCTGTGAGTCCTTTTCTCAACATTTCAAAGTAAATAGAATCTTAAACAAATCAATTCATCTGGACCCAGTGCCTTTGGCCTTCATAAGACAGTCTTCACAAGGCACTCTGAAGAAGGGGTCCGGGAGTGGCTGGACTAACCTTCAGCCACTGCCTGGCTCCCCAGCCACAGACAAGAGGGTGGCACTTGAGCTTGGCTGCTGGTAACTCGCAGCCTCCAGCAAGGGGCCAGAGGAGGGTGCTGCACAAGTGGGACAGCACCCAGGTAAGTATGCCTGCCTGGCAGGGAGACAAAATCCACTGCCCCCTGTGCCTTTCCTCCTGTTTGGCCAAGCCAGCAGCAATTCCTGTTTCAGGGACATCCCCTGCTGGCCACAGGGCCCATGGCCTTGAGCAGTGCACAGGAACCAATCAGGGCCCTCATTATCTGCATGACCCAAGTCCAGCCAAGGTCTTGCTGTTTCCCCTACACTCAGATACATCCAGCCCCATCTGGCTCAGGCATTTGGACCAAGGAAACGCTCATGCTCTGGGTACACCTCAAAGTAGGGCACTGCCCATCCAGGAAAGGAGCACCCTCCACACACAGGCCACCACCAGAATACCCGCCCCATTGGAGCACAGGCTTCAGGCCCGGACCGTGGGACATGGCCCTCTGTCCCTTCCAGACTCAGCCAGGAGAGATATGCTGCTGTGACAGCAGCTGAGAACTCGCCAGAGGAGGTAAGAGGGTGCACTCTGGGCAGGGTGATGCTCGGGGTGAGGCCAGGCAGCTGAGGGGGGCTCTGCCCCACTGCCAGTCACACCCGTCTCCTGAAGACCCCTGAGCCAGAATAGGAAACTAGTGGCTCAGGCTCCACTGGTTCCGGGAAGCACTGTTGGCCTGGACCCTGGGCAGTATACCTGGCACCAGGTTAGAGAACAGTGAAGGACCACAGCAACCACAGCTGGCCAAGACTTGGGCTTCCACCACACTCTGCCCAGTTCCATCAAGCTGGACACGCAGGCCAGGACAGGGACACATATGAGCGCAGCTCACTAAAACTGGAGCCTGCTTCCCCTTGACGATGAAGCAGCCCACCTCCTTCACCATCCCTGGTCCTGACCCCCTTTCCTACCCTGTATTCTTGTCCCTGCAGGCTGTCCCTTTATGTTTCCTTGGGGCCATAGATGAAACCCTTGCTAGGTGCACACTGAACTACCCCCAGCCCCCTTGTCATTTCTAACCAACCACACATAGCTCTGTTGGCACAAGAGAAGGGTATCAGCAAATACCCAGAACAGAACCTCCACACTCTTCTCTACAAGCCAGAAAGAGGTAGAAAAAGTCTAACCACTGGCTGATATCCCATGGCTAGGAGACCCACAGGCAGTAGCTTCTTTTCCAGGGCTCTCCTGATGGAAGGTTCCCAGAGGATAAAGGTTTCCTAAGGGTTGCTGGTGCCATGACTTGTCTCAGGCACCTGAGTTCTGCCAGGCTGTGACCTGGGGCGAGTTACCCAACACATCGGAGCCTGCTTCCTCTCCCACACACAGGAGTGTTGTGATGTGCTCTGTGGGGAGAGCATGTATACATGTGCACGCATGTCCCATGGCACCTGATCATTCATCTGACAATCGCTAAGGGCACCGAGGCTGTTTGAAGGTGATAAGGAGACTCTGAGCAGCCTGCACAGGGCCTCCCTATCTGGCATGGTCTCTTATGAGGAGGGATGTTACAGTGTCCAGCCCAGCACCGGTATTTGGGTTGGATGGAGCGGAGAGGGAGTAAGAGAACACACAGGTTTCCTATGTCCCAGTCTTGCTGAAGCCCGGCTCTCTTGAAGCCCCAGGGCCATGCAGATGCCACCCCATGACTGGCTGGTGGCCCAGGTCCAGGCAGTGGATGTAGTGCACCTGCAGGCCATTCGGATGGTGACCTTGCACGCTCTGGCTGGTGGGGCTTCCAAGCTGCTCTATCTGGAAAGCAGACAGAAGTAGATGCTGTGTAAAGAGCTCGCCTGCTGAGGTATGCTCGGGCTCCATTGGTACACAGTATGTTTGTGGGGCAGGGCAGGGAAGCTGCACAACTGTTTGGAACACGCAGACCCCCCACCCTCACAGAGCCAGACGAGCCTCAGTTAGTGTCAAGGCCAGGACACTTCCGAGCTCCAGCGAGCAGGGCCTCGAGCATCTCAGGAAAATGCCCAGGGCCCGCGCGTGGGCTGAGCCCTGGGGCCACAGCCAGCCGGTGTTCCAGGAGGCTCCCATGCCCTCTGCCTGCCAGGAGTGCCCTCACCAGCTGCTCTGACTCCTCTGACTGGGCCCAACCTCACCTCTGGCCTCAGGCAGAGCACCCCACCCTAGTAACATAGCTGGAGGGACCTAAAGCTAAGGTCAGAGCCAGGCTGGCTCAGGACGTTTTCTGGGACCCTGAGCCTCCCAGATCATTCAGGCTAACGAAGTTCCTACAGGAGGCCCAGAGATGTCACAGCCTCAGCAGCCTTATTCCACAGCCAGTGTGGTGGCCCATCCAGGGGCCACCAAAGAGCCAAAGGCAAATTATACAGTGGGCTGGCCACAGTGGCTCACAGACAAAATGTGAAGCCAGTCGGGTCTCGTGGCCAATCTCTCCACTGGTACCACTCACTGCAGCTCACACACACAATTAGGCTTGGCTTTTGGTCCCCAGGGGCCAGGGTGACTCAGTGTGGATCAGG